ACATAGTTGGAAAAGTTAAAGGTAACCTGCAGCTTAAGAAATCCCCAAGTTGCCAGCAGTCATATCTGCCCCCAAAGTGGAGCAAGCTGTTAGACACGTAGTAGCACAGTAAATTACCAAGTTTTTCACATACTTCCAGGTGATGGCTCATCTTCTACACCTCCTACATTTTCTTTTCCACACTACCAACTTCAAAATTCCTATTTTCTGCTCTTAATTTTGTGTTCATACCATGTATTTGCATCAATGGAAATGTGGAAATAATTTATTTTAGAAAAATTAATGAGTAGTCCCAGGAAAATGAAGGTTAAATATTTCCCCAATGTCACACTTTAGAAATGTATTATTCAGCTCTATTATCCCTCACCAATTACCACTCTTGCCCTCGTTTAATCCCTCACACCCCCGGTTCTGCAGTTCACCATAAGGGCTACAGAACCCAAAGCATGAAGGAAAGTGGCTCACATCGTTGTGGGTGGTGGGGTCCCAAATCTAAAATTTAAAAGTCCATCCAGAGGATCTTCCTCATCCCCAAGGCTGCGAAATGGTAAAATCTGGTCAGGTGACAGGCTGCAACCGAAGTCCCAAGAGCCAGATGTCTGGCAGGTGTAGGGTCTATGTGAGAGATGTTCTCCACTCCCGACTCTCCTTTATTGCTGGTGATGAGCTCTCACTCCCTGTTCTGAGATAGGCCTCAGTCCATATCCAACAGGCTGGCAATCACTCCCAGCTGATAATACAATCAGTAACCTCCCCCACCTTCTTTCCCAGAGCCCTCAGGAAAATAGAGCTTGTTTGGTGGTCTTAACAAAGACTATATATAGCTCGAAGAGCCATGCTAAATAATTCTCTGAATTGTAGAAATGCACACTAAAGCAAGTGGGCATTTCTGCAATTCTGTTATGAAATATGAATTTTCATACATACGTGGAACACATATGTCCCTCTGCACCATCTTCTGGATCCCTTGACAGATGCATACATTTTAGGGCACCTGAATTTTGCAGTATTTGCATGAACATGGAATCATCATGAGAAATAATTTACCAACCAAAATAACCCCGCATACAATACTATAAAGTTTATTGACTTATAGCAACCCAGAATCGCCTTTAAATCTCTAGTGGAGCACACAGCGTTACCTTTTTCACTCAGAGTGGCTAGTGGATTTAAACCTTGAGGCTAGCAGCCTTGCCCTAACAAATAATGCACAGGAACCTGGAAATAGACTTACAAGGCTATCTCTCGTACAAATGCCAGACGAAGCAAGTTTTACACAATCAGATCTCTGAGCTGCATACACTCATAAAATACCTTGTAAAGTGGTAATTTGCAGCACACCCACTTCTTCAGTTTCAGATTTTCCCTTTCTTCTTCACTGCGTGTTCTGTCAGTGGGAAAGCAGCTGCCCAGTAAACCCCAGAGGAGGAAACCGTGAGAGACGTGAAAGACAAAAACTGAGCGAAAAGTATTTCTTTTCACAGCAACTAGTGAAATATGAAATGCAGTCTAAAGGGGGCCTCACTCTCTGGGTTCATTACTTAAATCAGAGGGCCCCAGATGGCCCTGCCCGCGTTTTGTTGAGGGTGAAAAGACCCTGTGTAGATACAACCAGGAGAGTAAGTTTAAATTACTGTGGTTGGAGCCATGAAGTGGATGCTGACTTCTGGTGACCCCTCTCTACAAAGGACAAACCACTGCCCCAGCCTCTGGTTGTTGCTCTGAGGCTGGAGCCCACTCCTGCAGTCCCTGTGCCCACCTGTCTCAGTGAGGTCTTTCCCTTAGCCCTCTAGTTTTCCGTGTGACCCGTGGGAACGAGTCCTTCCTGAGCACACGTTCAAAGAATGTGAAACCTGCCTATGCCTAAGGAGTATTCTGGCCGCACTTTCCAGACATGCTTGTTGGTTCATGGTGTATGTAATATTTTTGCCAACACCATATTTCAAAGACTGCCCTTCTGCATCCATCATTCTTACTCAGTGTCCAGCTTTAACATGCAGAGGGGGCGCCCGAAAGTGGGAGCACTGTAGCTTGGGCAGGAGCACCTCGGTCTTCAGAATCTCGTCTCTGCTTTTAAAAAGAGTTATGCAGTCATTACCACATTCAGTTTTAACATTTTCTTCATTCTTGTACCCATTATTATTTCCTCCTTGTCACTTTTCACTCTCATTTTTATCTATTTATTTTTTCCTGATCACTTTTTCAAAAAGATCTTTTGCAGCCAGTTTGCCCAATATAATTTGCTGTTTGACTTCCTAACTGCCATCTCCTCGGACTTTTATCATAGGCCCAAGTACAGAGCGATCTGTGGTGACTCACTCTGCGCCATTTACTGTGATGCCGTGTACTTGTGCAGTTGTGAAGGGTTTTGCTTTCTTGATGTAGAATCCGTACTGAAGGCTGTAGTTTAGTCTTCATCAGAAACGGCTTCAAGCCCTTCACTGTCAGGTTGGGTTATTTGCCTGTTGGAGGTTGTTGAAGAGTCTTCTTCCTTTCTTGATGCCACACTCCTCTTCATTGCCCATGGGGCTTGAGAAACGAATGGGAACATGGATTAAAATATAATGATAAAAGGATACAGCTCCGACACGTGCCTTTGCTGATTTTCGAGCATCCCCTATCCTGCTCCGTGGTCCGTGTGCAGGCCCGGATGAACACAGTGTTGCAGCACTGCCCCGTTCACAGGGTTAGCTGTACTCTGCTGCGCACATAGCCGTCTCCTTTCCCAGACAGCGAAGCACAAGCAGACATCTCTGCTTCTAGCAAGATGACATCAGCAGTGCTGTCCTTCATTCGACGCCCGCTTCTGAATCAAATCAGACCAAAGATCCCAGTGTACTGACAGTAGTTCCCCGTCATTGTATTGCTATGCTTTTTTGTTTGTTTAATTCAAAATTTTACTTGCATATGATATCAGCAGTATTATCTGATAGTTTCTGCATATGCTTGGATCACCATCTGATCTCTGTCATTGAATTGGCCAGGTGGCTGGCTTCCAAGCTGCTTTTCATAGACTAGTGAGCACCTCCAGCACATCGTTCATTTGTTGAAACCTTTTCGTTGGAATCTACTAGTTACTGGAGGCTTGACTTTTCCCAAGGCCTTTGTAAGGAAGGGTTTTCTCTTTCAGCGTTGAAGCGAGTAGTTGTGAGATCAAAGTGCAGCCCTGCCACACAGTAAACGTGGTTATTTTCTTTCCGAGTGCACCTAGTCCTTCCTTAACGACTGTGTCATTGTCTGACAGTTGGCATTTATAGCAATAGTGAGATATCTGTTGTCCTGTTATTTTGCATGTTAACAATGCACATCCGGCAGTAACAGGGCTGCAAGGCGCCGACAGTGCTGGCCGATGGTTAAGGCAGCAGCCCTGGTGACACCGTGGTTATGAGTTGGGCAGCAGTTTGAAACCTTCAGTCATTCTGAGAGTGAGAGACAGGACTTTCTACTCCTGTAAAAGGTCACAATCTCAGAAACTCACGGGGTTTTTCTCCCCTGTCCGGTAGGGTCACCCTGAGTCCCTATCAACTCCATGGCGGTGAGGTTTTTCTAAATGATGGTTCAGGTTATATGTCAGCTTGGCTGGGCGATGATTCTCAGTGGTTTATCGGTTAGATAATGATAGAATTTGGCAGTTATGTAATGTTGTACCTGGCAATTGTTTATTGTAGTCGTCCTCCATTCTGTGGTCTTATGTGATTATCCTCCATTTTTTGCATAACATTGATTTTCACGTAAAGACCTAATATTTGGGACCTGTCCATGTTGATAAAAAAGGAGTGGGTATAGTATTCATATTTAGCAAGGCCATGGTCTTCACACTGGCTAATTTTGAGGCTGTAATCCTTTTTCTCTCTCTCTCAGCACTCCGATTATCACAGCTCAGCTGGACAAAGATGACGACGCTGATTATGCTCGCCTCGTGAAAGGGAGAATTGAAAAAACCCTTTTGGGAGAGGTAACAAGAAATCTCTGTTGATAACAAGGAACTAAGACAGCAGCTTACGGGGAAATCAGACAGCGAATTGCATCTGATTTACCAGTTAGTTATGTTCTACCTCTCCCGGCCCTTAAAGCAATTTAAAAAGGGGGTGCTTTTAGGCCAGGGGGAACTCACATTCTGATCTTTTGGCACTGCAGATTTCCGAGTATATTGAAGAAGTGTTTCTTCCTGACGATTGCTTTATTCTGGTCAAGCTCTCCCTGGAACGGATCAGACTGCTGAGGCTGGAAGTGAGTCCGTGGTAATGTGTACTGGAAGTCACCCTTTCTTGGTCTCAAGATAGGTGCTGGCAAACTGTGGCAAGAGCAAGGGAAGATGCATTGGTAAAGGCTCTTGTTGGATTTCTGTTCTGTGTGATTCTATTGTGACTTCCCAATTTCCCTTCATAAACCTTATCCTGACACTCTTGCTTTCTTAAGACCCAGAGGAAATTAGTTGAGATGTTATGCACAGTACTAAGTCACAGTGACATAATTTTGGGATGGACCACAAAGAAAGACAGTGTCAGACTCACTGTAGTTCCCAGCACCTAATAATGCCTTGCTGTGATAGGACATACGAGGGGACACCCCGCAAAACCCAGAATTATCCCCTCCCCAAAGCTATGTATTTAAATTTTTTTACAGAACAACCTAATCACCTTTAAAGTACTCTCCGTTATACTTAATACATTTGTCAAATCTGCGATTCCATTCTTTAAAAAAAAAATCATTTTATTAGGGGCTCATACAACTCTTATCACAATCCGTACGTACATTAATTGTGTAAAGCACATTTGTACATTCATTTCCCTCATCATTCTTAAAAACATCTGCTCTCCACTCAAGCCCCTGGCATCAGATCCTCATTTTTCCTCCCCACTCCCTCATGAACCCTTGATAATTTACAAATCACTATTTTGTCATATCTTACACTGTCTGACATCTCCTTTCACCCACTTTTCTGTTGTCCGTCCCCCAGGGAGGAAGTTACATGAGATCCTTTTAATCGGTTCCCCCTTTCGACCCCACCTCACCACTGGTCCTGAAGAGATCATCCGCCCTGGATTCCCTGTGTTTCTAGTTCCTATCTGTACCAATGTACATCCTCTGGTTCAGCCAGAGTCTTGGAAACATTTTTCAAACTCATCTGTATGAATGGCTGACAGCACCTTCCTCGTTTCTTTTTTTTTGCTTCACCTCTTCTAAGTCGTAAAATCTCTGTCCTTTCATGCCCATCTTCATTCACAGAAACAAAAATAAGTCACACAGAGCGAGGTCAGATGAGTGGTATGTGGGGCAAGAGAGGCATGCTGATTTTTGCCCCAAACTGGCATACTGAGATGACTGTGTGAGAAGATGCATTGTTGTGGTGGCAAAAGCAGTCCCCCATCTGCCACAAATCAGTTTTTTTTTCGGTTCCACACTGTTACACAATCTTTTCAGAACCTCTAAATAGAAACCTTGATTAAGAGTCTGACCTCGTAGAACAAGCTCCAAATGTACTACCAGTCGATATTTTCATTCATTTGGGAAGTTGGTGACATCCAGAAGGAGGTTTGTCATCAATCAACATTTCACCTTTTTTGAAACAATAAACCACTCCTACACTTGAGTTTCCCCGCAGCGCTGTCCTTGTGAACTGTGTTCACCATCACAGCAGTTTCTGCGGCATTGTTCCTGAGAGGAAACAACATTTCACAGCCGCACGTGTTCTCTGAAATTGGCCATCCCAAGAAAACAAGGTTTACAAAAAGATCCACTGCCACCAAGAGAACCTTCCCCGGAGATGCCCCTTGGTGCTCGCCTAGGGTGAAAAATGCTTATTGTGAAAGCTCCGCTCTTCTGATTTTGGGGGGTACCCTCTCGTATAGGCAGGTGGCTAGGTTGGCCTGGCTTCTTATACTGGTTTGTATGGGGAAGTAACAGTTGAAAGATTATCAGATCCCCCACCCCCCGCCCCTCAGGTAGTTAAATCTTTTATTGTTGTGATCTGCTGTCAAGTCAACGCCAGCTACCATCCCCTTGCATAACAATGAAGCACCACTCTCCTGCATTGTCCCCATTGTCTGTACTGGATATGTAACCGAAAATCAGTTTTGAATAGTCTAACTTATGGTTAGACTATTTTCTGTTACATAAGTCTGACTTATGGTTAGACTATTCAAAATTGATTTTCGGTTACATACACAGTACATAGATATACATTGTATCTATGGTACAGTGAACCCTCGTTTATCGTGGTTAATCGGTTCTAGACCCTACCGTGATAAATGAAATTCCGCGAAGTAGGATTCCTTATTTGTAAATCAAATATTTTCGTAGTTAGAGCATAGAGGACATAAAAAACCCCCTTTAGTCACCATTACACTCGTATTACCCAATTTAGTAAACGAAAAAGGGAAAATACAGTAAAACATTTTGGACGTTACAATTATCATTTATTATTTATTATATTATTTATGGCATCTAGTTTACAGTATTACATATTTCATATACAGTATTATTATACATAGTTCTTACAAATACTGTAATCAATAGCCTATGAAATGACTTAAGGGATGTACTCTACAGGTGGGTCGCCGTCTTTTTCCTCTGCAGGAGCGGGTGTAGGCAGTGGGTGCTGTTACGCAAAAACCGCGATAGAGTGAAGCGCGAAGTGGCGAGGGTTCACTGTATTAACATTTAAGGGGGAGAGAAAAAAATGACCAGAAAGTCTGTTCTACAGAGAAAATCCGTTTTCTGTTCAGCAATTTGTACACATTTTGTTTCATCTCATTGCAGTCTCCCAAATGTAATCCCACTCATCCTTCACCCCTGTGTTTCCATGCCTCTTTCTTCTCAAACCTCTGAACCTTGAGTAAATTATGCCCTTTTGATCTGTAATGGCTGATTTTTCTAAGGAGTGCTTGCCTCTTTAGTGTAGCTGTTCCCCTCATAGATTAGTGTATTGTTTGACTGAAAATTAAGCCCCAAGAATGCTTTCCGTCCCAGGCCTAAAGGATGACCAAGGGCCATATTCTACGGGTTTCCACCAGTCATATCTGACCATTAAGCCTGGTCTTAGTGACAACACATTGAGAAGCATCGGAATCAAAGCCTCTGAGCCGTCAGTGATGTTCTGCTGTGGCCTGCCCTGGCCCTTACAGGTGAACGCTGAGACCGTGCGCTACTCCATCTGCACCTCCAAGCTCCGTGTGAAGCCTGGTGATGTGGCTGTGCACGGCGAGGCTGTGGTGTGCGTCACCCCCAGAGAGAACAGTAAGAGCTCCATGTACTATGTGCTGCAGTTCCTGAAGGAGGATCTTCCCAAGGTAAGAAACTGTCCTTGGGCCCCTGCCCAGCCTATTGCCTTGAGGTTTATAAGCAGTGAAAGAGCATTTGCCTGTAGTGTGACCACCCAGTGTCAGGGAACCCAAAGGACTCATCACTGACATCACCTCTGTGACTGAGGCTGAGTATAGTGTCCCATTTTCTGTGCCATGTCCCTGCTCCCCCATTCTAGAGGGTCCCCTTCCTGGCACCGCCAGACCAACGTCACCTGTTTAATTCCTCTCCCTATCTCCCTAAACTGGCCTGCTTATTCTTCTATTCCCTACACAAAACACAGGCACTTTTTGTGTGTAGTATTCTACTAATAACCATCATTGAAAAATGGAGGCTGGCACTCCAAGCTGTCATATGCCAAGTTCTCCTGTTAGCTGCTGTGGGCTCTCCGGCTGCTGGGAAGGAGGGGACCATTCACACGGCCATGTTTCTGAACCCAGGTGGTGGTGCAAGGCATTCCAGAGGTGTCCAGAGCTGTCATCCATATCGATGAGCAGAGTGGGAAGGAGAAGTACAAGCTCCTAGTGGAAGGCGATAACCTGCGGGCTGTTATGGCCACTCATGGGGTGAAGGGCACTCAGACCACCTCCAACAACACCTATGAGGTACCTGGACGGGGCAGGGGCAAGGTACAGTCAGGCTGTCTCCCTTTAGTGTATTTGCATGCCCTCAACGGGGCTCAGCACATTTCTCTGTCCCCGCTGTTTGGGTCTTCCAATAAAAATGCTCAGAAATGCATTTGTGGCAAACGGCATCAAGTTTCCTTCAAACATACCAGGCAAAGGAGGAGTCGCAGTAGCATCCTCAACGTGGCTGCTTTTACTTATCTCTAGTTCTTGGCAGGTGGAGAAAACTCTGGGCATTGAGGCGGCCCGTACCACAATCATCAATGAGATCCAGTACACGATGGTCAACCACGGCATGAGCATTGACAGGAGACATGTGATGCTGCTCTCTGATCTGATGACCTACAAGGTACATGAGGCTCCAGGAAATAAGACTGCAGAGATTTGAAGGCCTGTGGAGAGTGCAGTGATGGTACTGATCTTCACTGAGTAAATAAGATGACACAGGTATCCAAAAGCCAAAGCCCAGTATTTGCACTGGATGTTCTAGTAAAATCTTAGAATAGAAAATGCAAGTTTGTGTGGTGAAGAAATCAGAGCATGGCTGGCCCAGCTGTCAGAAAGAATAAGGTCATAAAGGCTTATTTTAAAACATTGTAGCCATCTCAGTGAGGTGATGGTAAGTCCACACGGAAAAAACATACTAGCCTGTGTGATCCATTTGATAAATATAAGATCGAGGATCAGAAGAGGGACAGTACTAGAGCTTAGCGCAGTGCAGAAGGCTATAGATGACAGGGAAAGCCCAAAGTCCATTTGCAGGGTCCCCACGTGGATTATGCTTCCGGTGAATCCCCTCTGCCCTTTGACCAGACATATGAGTAACACTGGAAAGTGGATTAATGCAGATGTAGGTTGAAATTGAGCACCGTATCATTTGTTGTCCCTTTTGACCCATTTAAAATGTGTTCTACTGTTTGTATTCTGTTATCTTTTAAACTGAGTTTTCCCTGTTTGTTACTGTTGGGTTTTATGTTTTGGGGGTTTTTTTTTGCTTTTTAGTTTTGAATGTTTTTCTTTATACGAATTCTAGGGTTGTTAAATCTATAAAAACACAGCATATTCCTGTAGTATGGATTAATAGTTTATTGGGGCAGAAGAGCCTGGGGAGAATTTTGGAGCTAATATGAATTAAAAAGTCTTATACAAGTAAAAAGTATAAGAAAGAAGAAAATGTTCTAAAGTTTATTGTAGTGGTGATTGCACAACTCTTTAATATGTTTAAATTATTCAATTGTATGATTTTTTAATTATAAGTAAAAAATTTTTAAATTAAAAAAAACATTTTAAAAGAATTACAACCTTATGACACACTATTACATCTAGTTTTAACCAACTGAGGAGGGAAGCTTGTTTTTATTTTTCTTTGTTATACATTATATCTAAAGCAAAACTTGATATAGAGGGCCACCCCTTGTGAAATCTATCTTAGAGCGAGCCCACGTGCCGCAGGAGGACCGCCTCCGAGGGTTGTGTTTGCTGCATGGTTACGTGAGTAGAGGGCCAGGTCCGTGGGAAGCCTGTAGAGCCACTGGCCATTTGAATGCCCACCTCTCCTTTAGCAGCTTGTGCTCGACTGCTGCACTATCACTGCTCCTTTAAAAAAAAAAGTATTTTTATTGGGGCCTCTTCACAGCTTTTATCACAATCCATATGTATATCCATTGCTCTCACTGTAATGGAGATACTGAAACCGACCTGAGTCAATGCTTACTCATAACAGCCCGTGCTCCTTGGGGATTTTGAGTCTGCAAATCCTTATGGTATCAGAAAGCTTCATTTTAGTCCTGAGATGTGGCTGGTAGATTTGAGCTGCTGACCTTGCAGCTAGCAGCCCAACACCTGACTCACTATGCCATCAAAGCTCCTGAGCATTAACTAGCCATTGCCAAAAGCCCAGGATGCTTCTTTGTTATTTATTCCTGTGTTATCATTCATCACAGTTCTTTAGCCATTTCCAGGTAGAGAGTAAGTACTTGGGACATGCAATGGGGAGCTGAGATTAGGTCAGTTGGTTATTCTACCTGTCCCCACAAAAAAAAAGTGCTTCCTATAGGACTGCCAAAGGGGAACAGCTTTTCCCTATGTATCCATTCCTAAGCCTGTGTTTTAGACCATTTAGAATCTAGGTGAGGAGATAGGACCTAGCACCCTATAATGAAGGTTGTTACTTTGAGGTTCTCGGCTGGTCTTACTCTGTGTCTTTTTTTTCTTTACTGTAATTGGCAGTACATAGTGTACATGCAGTTTTTGCCCTGATTTTTTTGAATTTAACACTAAGTGTTTTCTATACTAGAGTTTTTGTAAACTATTTTAATGATGGTACAATGTACCTTTGAAAGCAAATACTTAAATTTACTTAACCTCTTTCCTACCTTGAGGCATTTATATTTATCAGTTCTTAGTTTTTGAGCCCCAATGAACATCTTCAGAAGTTCTCTACTTTTGTTAGATCCTTAATTCTAATCTTCATACAAACTCACATACTGTCTCTGTGTGTTTCTAATTCATTGTCTCAGTTGCCCGAGTTCAGTGTAGACACATGCTGTCAGGGACTGAGTTAAAACCCTTTCCCTCCGGAGCCTGTGTGTGAGGTACTCTGTCGAGGGCAGTGTGCGAGGTGGTCTGTTTCTCACCTTCCGTAGCAGCGGTTGAGCTCTCTGCTTCGCTCCCATGGCGCAGGGTGAAGTTCTGGGAATCACACGGTTCGGCCTGGCAAAGATGAAGGAGAGTGTGCTGATGCTGGCATCCTTTGAGAAGACGGCCGACCACCTCTTCGACGCTGCCTACTTTGGGCAGAAGGACTCTGTTTGTGGTAGGTTCAGCCTTCCAAGAAAAATCAGTAAGGGCTTCTGTTGTTGACAGTGCGGGCTGAGACCAGGCTTCCCGGAGGGTGGGTGGTGAGCAAGGGGAGCCATCAACCACGGAAGTGGAATTCATCATTCTTCTGTTTTCAAAGTCCGACCAGAGAGCATGTCTATCAGAGGCTTCTCTCTGTAGGCACAATTGCATGGATCCTAGAAGAAAAAAATCCACCCGGAACATAGAAGAATTTTCCTAACTTGAAATTGTAGTTCTCGCCACTGACCCCATGGCCATGGTTTTATGTGCAAGTGCCTAAGCGAGGGGCTGAGACAGTAGTCCATGGGATCGCGAAGTGGTCCTGCAGCCCCGGCCTTCAAGGACGGGTAGCAGTGCTTCTTCTCTCGGCACACATGAGCATTCTGTCTCCATCAGGCTGTGTTGGCCTCTCCTGGGTATTGTCTCTAGGGAGAGAAGCATGAGGAGGCGTGACCACAGAAGTGTCTTCTGCCTTCCAAAGCTTTACTGGCTGCAGGGCTTTTACTCATGCCATTTGGACCTTGTAGCCCCAAAGTAGTTATATAAACTGCCCACCTAAGACAGGCCCAAAGCGACGATTCAGTGCCTGGAGGCCATTCTCCCTCTAAAGCTTCCCTAGGGGCCATTTCCTATCTCACCTCTCCCCCAGGTATTGATTTGCTAAATAAGGGATGGTCCATGAGGACCTTCGAATATATGCTAGTCTTTAAACTTGGCTTTCTCCTTTCATAAGGGATCCAAGTTTGAGATGAAAGAGAAATGGCAACGTTCTTTGGGGTCAATGGGTGAAAGGAAAGAAAAGGGAGAGGACAGTTGGGTTCGGAGAAACGGGGAGGTGGGTGAAGGCCAAAGCCAGGGGAACAGCAAGGAAGGCATAGCTGTCCCAAATGCAAAACCAGGACGCCCTGTGCCCTTGTAGCTGCCCCCAGACAGCACCCTTCCTCCCTGACTTGACCACACCAGCAGCTGATTCACTTGGAACAGTAACTCAGTGTGAGGCAGCATTGTGCACGGATTCTTAGTTTGGTTATTGGTGTTTGACAGCGCAGAGCCAAGAACATACATAGTAGGCACTTATTAGTTACAGAATAAATAGCCTGACATTTGGATCTTATAAAAACTGAGATGTAGCCTGAGAAGGAATCTACCCCTGCCCCCGCCTGTCTTTAATTCCACAGCAGTAGTGGAATTTTGACTTCACAGGAATAGTGCCTCTAGAGTGGTTCTGATTAGAGATGTGAGTCTCCAGGGCCATGCTGTGAAGCCTAGCCCCGTGCTCAGCCCCGAGCACAGCTAACAGCTTCCCGTTCCTGTTTCCAATGTGCCGGGCTTCTGCACACTTCTGTCCGCTTTTCTTCTAGGTCCCCGAAAACCAAACCAAAACAAAAAAAAACCCCTAAAACCACAACCAAACTCGCTGTCATTGAGTCATTTCAACTCAGGCCCTCCATTAAGGAAAACTCTGGGCCGCAGACTCGGGGTTCCCAGGAAACCTCCCTTAGTCAATCCTGTAACTAACTGTCTGAGTTTAGTGTATCCAAGGTGGGTCTTACCAAGTGCGCGCATGGAAGAGGAGAACTGGCTGAGCTCTCTCCGGCTTCCTGGCCATGAGCAGGCACTGTGCCTTCCCTGTCAGCTCCCTTAGGCCTCGGTGCACAACCACCCCTATTGTAGAGACTGGTGGCACAGTGACTTGCCCACGTGGAGCCGTTTGATGTGAGAGAAGCTGGTCCTCCAACTCCTTCTGAAAACCCTCCTGCATCCCAGACTTGTTCTAATCACTATTCTGGTTCTTTTCAGGAGTGTCTGAATGCATCATCATGGGAATCCCAATGAACATTGGAACCGGGCTCTTCAAATTGCTTCACATGGCTGACAGGGACCCAGACCCTCCCAAGAGGCCCTTGATCTTCGACACAAACGAATTCCACATTCCTCTCGTCACATAGAGACTAACTTCTTGGGCGCCTTGCCCTGTCTTGAATGAAGCTTGAAACGAGCAGCTGACTCAAAGTTGTGTGCCCTTGGGATCGAGTCACTGGTACCCCTGCCGGTGCCAGCAGTCAGAGGAGGCACCTGGAGTTTCCAGAGGCAGCTCCTCGTCTGATGCAAGGACCTTGACCACCCCATGCTGTTTGGGAGAACAGTGTGTATGTCTTTATGTTTACACCTAGTCGGCACCCCTCACCCACGCTGACTCCCTGGGCTTGAGAGGAGGCCCCAGCCAAGCATCACTACAAATCCCCACCTCAATCCACTCCATCTACTGCCACCCAGGTACCATCACAGCTAACCCCAAGCTGCTCTTAGTGTGTTTGCTAGTATCTCTGCCTCTCTTTTAAGCTGGAGTTCCCAGGCAGTAGACCCATGTTATTATTTATTTGCTCAGTTTGAGGGACTTGGTGTTTTTGTCATTTTGGCTTTATATCTGAAACTATAACACCAGCATTGAAGTGTCACTGGAAAAACTGGTTATACAAAAAGGACTGTCTGGTGTTGGTAACTGAGCCAAGCCTGTTGTGAAGCCCAGAAGGCTCTGAAACATCCTGTTTATGTGACATGACTCCCCATGGACTGGCTCTGTGTATTCATAGTCATACCTATTCTGCACAACATGCAGAAACCTCATTGGAGTGTGGGGCATGTTAAGAGAGGGCCAGTTTCCTAGGAACCTCCTAGGTCAGGAATGACACAAGTCCAGGTACCTGGCCCACCTGCTGCTAGATCCACCTCCCCCCTGGTTCAGGTACAGAGTTGATTTCCCCCTTACTGCCAAAGCGTACACAGGGCGATGCAGAACCAGGACCCCAAAATGTACCTGGGTGTAGGCAAGTGCCAGCACTAAGGGGCCACCCGGACAGGAAGGGTGGAACCTGGGGGATCAGTGGGAGAAAGGAGTAGTGGTGCCCAGTGTAACAGCAGTTTCCTGGAAGAATAAATGTGTGAGAAGAAAGCACTCCTCGGGGACTGTGAAGAAGAAACTGCGAGGCAGTGCAGGAAGCCCTTTGCTTGCTCAGCTTCTGCAGAATACCTGAGCTGCCAGTGAGATTGTTTAGGCGGTTGTTGTCACTTGTCTTCTAAAGAGAAGGGTCTTGCTGCTGGAGAGAATGTTCTGCGTTTTCTTCAGTGGGGTTGCCCTGGGGCCAGGGAGAAGAAATGGTCATAGATCCCTTCCCCACAGAGCAGGTTCTGTGGGTCCATCAGTCCATCCCTCCTCTGTCAGCCTTTTCCTGCCCAGAGCTAAGCAGCATTGTTCTGGTGTTTCCCTGCTGGGTTCTAGGAATACTCAGATGGCTTAATTGGGAGTGACATAATCATTAAAATTGCAGATTTAACCTGGCTTTCTTGTTCCTGCCCCTAAGAAGGTCTCCTGAAAGGACACAGCCAACTTACCTAACTTTGTCACCCACTAGAAGAAACATTGCCTAAAGCCAGAGTTCATTTGTGAGCAAGAGGGTTTGGATGATTAAAGAGATGGCATGGATGATTCAAGGAAAGGAAAAGCAGGGGAGGCCCCCAGTCTTTCATCCCTTTAGGTTTCCATTTGTGTGCTCTACCTATCATTGCTAGGGTACGCAGTATAACCACTGGCTCTTGGGTCTGCCTTAGAATGATTGCTTTCTCTTCCATACTGACAGCATTCTGAATTCTGGACATGACCTATTTTTGACCAGTGCTTTAGATTAGAAATCCTATTAAAAATGGTCTCCCTGGGCCCATGGTCAGGGCATCAGTGCCATGAAGAGCCATTTGTCTTAGTATTCAACACTGCCACGCGCCCCTCATGTCTTTGAACTGGGTAAACCTGGTTTCAGTGGAAAGACTGAATCCTCTTAGTAGTGTTTGCTCACTTGAGACTTCGCCTGCCGGACTCCACGTAACTGACTTTAAGAAAACGTGCCTGGGAAGTGAGAACAGGGATTGGAAGGGGCACCAGCACCCACTCGGTGCGACGCGTGCTTGGAATGGAGACCCTGGCAGCCGTGTGTTGCTGTGAAGGTGGAAGACAGTGGGAGCCACAGACCCATGGGTGTGTGGAGTGAATGTGGCAGTTGGCACCTGTGATGGAGATGAGTGATGGGTTACATTTGGGTTTCACGGTCTGTGGTCATGTCACTAGTGAAGTACCCTGTCCTATGAGCTGTGGTCCTTTGTGTTGCACTGCCAGCCCTGCCAGGACCCAGACATGGGCACCTGGGGCTGGTCAGCCTTGCTCTGTTCCCCGAGCTTTGTACCATGAATGAGTATTGTGTCTTCTTCCTAATCCAGTCATCTGTCCTGGCCCCAGCATTTAGTTTTATATGGGTACAAAACTCAAACCACATAGCCACATAGGAATATGTTCTCGAGAATCTGTGCCAGCAAAGGCTGCTTTCTGGGCCTATTTGGAAGAAATGAAAATACATTTAAAAACTGACTCTCATCCATGACCAGATCCCGATTTCTGGCTTGTGATCTGTCTGGTCCTTTGGCCCATTTGTATCTCTTATATAAAGGGATTAAAATAGCTGTTTGACTCAGTTACAACCCCCTGTGTTGCTTAGTACTTGGGGACTGGGAGAGAGAAACCCTGAAGCCTCGGTGTGTGCCACATTTAAATTATGGTGCCAGGTTTCCATTTCAGGGCTTATCTATTGAGTACTCACATGGATTCAGGTCTGACTGAACTTGGCACTATATACCGGTAATTATTTTTCTTGCAATTTCCCAGCAGATCTCTTATTTTTCTACTAAAATTCCAAAGAGGGAAAACTAGTTATACAGAAAACTCTAGCAAAGTAGCCCTTAGAGGTTACATCCAGACAAGGTGATTGGAATGTGCGTAGGTGCTTCCCATGCTGCAAGCCCCTACCTCTGGGTACTGAAAGTCACCCGCACGGATCACTTAGAAATCAAAAGAAGACTATAAAAAATAAAAATTAAAAAAAAAGACTATTACTCCCCTAGTCCCAGCGATGGAACTAAGTCAAACCCAGTTGGAAGCAATCAAATATCTCCTACACTCCTGCATGGGAATTACCTCCAGGTTAGGATTGGGTGCCTGGCCTAATAATTCTTTCATCATACAACAAATACAAAAACAAAAAAAATCAACAGGTAGTCAGATACTCTGATATTAAAGCACTAAAAGAATTATTTGGCAAAAGGAGTGGAGCAGGAATCCAGGATTACACTTGACACAGATGTGTCTGTCAGTTTGATGTTTGCGGAACTTGCCCTTGTGGGTAGACGTGACACATCAAGCCTCCACCTGATTGCCCTGAGCATGCACAGCCTTCTGGTTCCAATCCATCCCTGTAGGGCCTTTAGGACCTTTGGCTTCCTCCAGAGCTGGCCTTTGTTCCTCGAATGTTCTCTAAACAGAGGGCGTAGGCCTACAGGCACAAAAGGATAGCAGCATTCTCTCCCCACCTTCAACATCCAGAGAAGTGTTTCAATCCATGAATACTTGAAAGTTGCATTGTGCCAGGTCCTGGAAGGAGCGACGGAGGGCGCAACCCTCCAAGGTTGTGGTTACCTTGTGTTAGAAGAGCTGGTTCTCTGCTCAGACTGGGAGTCAAGACCCCCCGGCCCCCCTGTTCACTCCAGTAACCTCAGACATAGGATTCTCCTTCTTGCCTCACTTTACTCGTTCCTAAAATGTCAATATTTATAGTACCTAATTCAGGGTCATTGAGAGGTTTAAATGTATACATATAAAGGTCTTAGTCTGACACATAGTATACATTCATTATTGGTTTTTACTGAAAAGCATTACATATTTCTAGCTAAAAACGTATCCCCTGACCCATTTTAATTCTCCCAGATGGAGCTGATGTCAGGCTTCAGAAGACATAACCCCTGCCCCTACTCTGCTTAGTCATCGGCTCATGGCAAGTGTTTTAAACTGGGGAAAGGGCAGGCTTTGAACAGTTGTGTTGTTGGGGCCATCAGCGTCTTTATATGGTTAATGTGGGCTTGTTTAGACTTGGTGGTGAGATTGGGATGACAGAAGTAGACAGATTGTTTTTAATAGTGATGTGAATATTTATATATGTATTTAGGTAAGTAGGTTTATTATATTCCGTGAGGTATAGTTTTAACTTTTTTCTCATTTTAACAGAAATTCCCATTTAAAAGTCATTAGTAAAGATTATGGTCACTGGGCTGCCTCTAGGGATAAGAACTAGGTGGTGGAAGGAGAGAGGAGAGGCAGGAGGGTGACTTCTTTTTCATACTGTGATCTGTGGGGTCTGTCAGATTTGGCACTTAGCATTTAAGTTAGATCACATATCCTTAGCAGGCTGCACATTGGAAAATGGCTCTGTCAGAGCTCCCCTACTGTGTCCGGGGGCCAGTACCAAGTACCAGGTGAAGAACAGTGAGCAAAATTGCCCTACTCCCTTTCCTTGTGGAATTAGTCGAGGTAGCACCATCCAATGCAAACATACAAATCACACGGGTAATCTTCCAACATATGATCGCTATGAAAAGTATGAATGAAATGTTTTGTGCCCTTTTTAGTACCAACTGTTAAAAATTGTGTCTGTGTGAGTGTGTGTGTGTGAACAGTTTCAAGTGCTAACTAGGCACATATAGCTAAAATAAGTCGGGCAGGTTTGGGGAACTTGCCCTTATGGGCAGACTTGACACATGAAATCTCAGTTTTGCCGTGATTGCCAAAGGGCAGTGTGTTCCATGGGGCTTTCAAAGGCTGGGGTTCTCCCAGATGCAGATTGCCAGGCCTTTCTTCCACAGATCCGCAGAGTGGGCCCAAACATCTACCCTTTGGGCTAGAACTTCTCAAGCTAACCCTGTGTACCGCCCAGGGACTGCCACGTGTTGCCAGTGGCTACGATGTTCATGTCTGTGGAAGAGGAAGTAAACAAATGTGTTACCATGAACTCTGGGGAGCCACGGAGGAAGTGGCAACAATGATAAGGAAGAACGGGGAGACGGGCAAAGACCCTCTGCAAAGGGCTCTCTGCTGGGTCCTCTCTCTACCTTCCCTGGCAGTAATCCCGAGTGTGGCTCAGGGTAAGTGTTAGCTGTGTATTAAAGTTTATCATACCTGAAATGTCTACTAGAGAGAGTAAAGTGAGTAATTTCTTCAGAATGACAGGCCTACAATATAAAACAAATTTTATGCAAACAAGTGTACCGCTTTGCGTACAAAATTACTGACATAAGTAGACCGCCAGGGAGGCTAGAAAGGCAAAACCAGTGAAACAGAGATTTTCACCAAGAAAACGACTCACCTGGCAGGGGAGACACCGTGATCACGAAGGTGGTTTCCCAGGCCGAGGCTTGTCCACTGCACTCCTGATGTGCTGACCCCTGCGATTTCCCCAAATGTGGGGAGCTCGACTGCATAATTTGTGGTAGTGGGGGACTGCGTTGGCGCTCTGCTCCTACTTTAAAAAGAGAAAAGAAAATGACTCACGCAGATGTAGCAGCATGCCTGGTGCCACATGGGTCCATGTCAGGCTGGAGCTTTCGCCTGACTTGAGTAGCTGAGGGCTGGTGAGCCCAGATCAGCAGGAGGAGCATAGGCTGGTGGCTGCCGAGGCAGAGGAATCCGAGTCAGCAGGTGGCTGACAACTCTCAGGGTTGATGGGCCATAGAGCTGCTGGCCATTGGCTCAAGTTCCAGAACAGGCAAGCAACCTTTTCCAAATTGTCCGCTTATATTGGCAGCAGGTCACACCCCCAACAAAACTTCTTTTCAAATGATCGTGCATAGTAGATCTCATTATGGAGGTGATTACATTGTGTAATATTAACAGCCAAATAGGAGCCCTGGTGGGATAGTGGTAATGCACTGGGTTAACAGTTCGAAATGGCTATCAGCTTTGTGGGAGAAAGATGGGATTTTCTATTCCCATAAAGAGTCTGTCGCTGAAACTCACAAAAGCAGTTCTGTCCTGTTCTATGGGGATTCTGTGGTCCAGCACCAGCTTGATGACATGGATGCTCTGCAGGTAGTGGACTAGTGCGGGAGCTCCCTGAGGAGTGAAGAGCCTAGGATTTCTTAGGGTGAGAGGGTGGTCGGCAGGAAACAATCCAACCTTACTCATTTCTTCGAACAAATGTCTCAAGCCATGTTAAGAACCCAAAGAGTGCCACCACTTTCCCCCTTTAAATCCATGTTCGGCCATTTGGCTACTCCCCATCCAAATGACTTTCCAGGAAGCACCTCTTGAGCTATAAATTGTCCAGAAACTTTTCTGTTGCTTTTTAACTTCTCCCCAAACCCACAGCCTGTTCGAAGGTAAATAATCCACAGGGAATCAGAATCCGGGTGGTGGAATGACTAAGTGTGCAGCTGCTAAACAGGTCTGTGGCTTGATCCTACCAAGCGGCTCTGCAGGAGAAAGGACCTGTAATGGTTACAGCCTGGGAAGCCCTTTGCAGAAGTTCTCTTTGACACATTGGGTCCCTGTGAGTAGGATTTGACTGGCACACAAGAGCAGCTTACAGTAAGTCCCTGAATGGGACAAATGGTTAGTGTTACCACGATTGGAGGTTCAAGTCCACCCCAAAGCACCTCCAAAGATCTGGCTATCTACTTCTCAAAACAAAACCAGCCATTGAAAATCCTATGTAAAGATTTAATGAGCACCAAAATAAATACAACGAACAAAGTAGCAAGTTGCATAGTCAAAAGAACGCAAGCGAAAAAGAATAATAAGACACATTGAGATGATGGCTAGAAGTAGAAAGAAACTCAAACGACACAACGAAACAACACACAATCAACCAGCTTGGCCTCGTAAACCTACAGAAGACCACCCAACAACAGGACTATATACCTACTTTTTAAATGCATCTAAAACATTCTTCAGGAAAAAAAATTCTTCAAAATAATACATTAGGCCACAAAACAAGCATCAATAAATTTTAACTCAAAATATTGCAAAGCATCTCAGATCACATTGCCATAAAATTAGAAATAAAAAAAATTAGAAATCAACAATAGGAAGATCAAGGGGGTGGAAATACAGGGGATTTTAATACCCTGCTTAAGACTACTGGATAATAGTATAAATTTCAGAAATTCCTTGAGTCGAGAAGAAAAAAGAAACATGCCCACAATTCGAGTTACAAGAAAACCAGTACCCAGAGGACCATTTGTAGCAATAAATATCGAAAGAACCAAAATCAACACCTTACCCCAACAATTAGAGCAGCAAAAGTGTACAACCACCAGCAGTCAACATTAGAGCAAAAAATCAATGAAACTGGAAACCCAGTAGAAAACACGAAGTTGATTCTTTGAAAGGATTAACAAAACCATTAACCACTGAGAAAGTTAACAAAAAGAGGATGCAAATAAGAAATAGGGTGGAAAATGTCAAAATACCCAATGGAAACTTAAAAAAGAACAATACTTAGAAAAATTGAACTTTGTAAATTGAACGATTGTGCAATTGAACAATTGTAAAGCCTAGGAAGGACAAATGGACAAATTTCTAGAAAAAACAATGCCAGTCTAGACTACCATGGACTGAATTAGAAAACTTGACCAAACAATTAATATACCTTGCTGACTATTTCAAGCCAAAACTATCCTGTGCAACCAGCTCCTATAAAGAACATGTTGTCTTCAGGTTTACAAAGTGCATAAAATAATATACGTGCAAACACAAGTTAACTC